TACTGTGGCGGCCTTCACGACCAGAAGGTAAATCCTGGGATACTACGGGTACTCGGGTTTACTTTAAGGTTTGGAAGGGTCTTCTTAGGTCTCGTGTTTGTGTAGACTGATTCTTGGAGTCATTGGATTAAATTCCTTCGCGGAAAATGTGATTAAAGATGTTCTATTTGTATAATAGAGTTACAAGTGTTTATTGTGTATTTTGAGCCGATGGGCGGATGAGATTCACGAAGGGCGACCGGCTGTGGAGTCGTCCACGATTCTCAGCCATCTTGGGTTTGATCCTTACGTCTCCAAGTGACCTCCAAGACCAATAAAGTTATCCAGTGTGTCCTCCACACAGGTTCTCCGACTCCCCACCCCCCCTTGTGTAGGTGCCCAGTCACCAACCCCGCGACCTGGTCACTGACCTGGTCACTGACCTGGTCACTGACCTGGTCACTGACCTGGTCACTGACCTGGTCACTGACCTGGTCACTGACCTGGTCACTGACCTGGTCACTGACCTGGCCTCTGACCTGGTCACTGACCTGGTCACTGACCTGGTCACTGACCTGGTCACTGACCTGGCCTCTGACCTGGTCACTGACCTGGTCACTGACCTGGCCTCTGACCTGGTCACTGACCTGGTCACTGACCTGGTCACTGACCTGGCCTCTGACCTGGTCACTGACCTGGTCACTGACCTGGTCACTGACCTGGCCTCTGACCTGGTCACTGACCTGGCCTCTGACCTGGTCACTGACCTGGTCACTGACCTGGTCACTGACCTGGTCACTGACCTGGCCTCCTGGTTGTCCCTGATTCAGCCAAACTGAACAGAATCAGACGTTTGAATTTTCCATTATGGTTTTGAGATACAACTGGTACAACTTGTGTTTCTGAGACCTCTCTCTTATTGTGGGTATTCATAGTTTAGTCTGTAGAGCGCCTGTCTTCCTCTCCCGTGGACGTGGGTTGGTGGCTCTGATGGTGCAAGTGAAAGTATATATTATATAATATATATATAATATTGGTATCCACCGTATTGGAGACAATAACATTTCATTCACTTTGGACCTTATCTGGATCTTACCATTTTACTCTAATAGGCGTCTCTGAAATCGTTCGCTACTAAGAGGTGCTTGTGACTCGGTAGGAAGAACTGTGAGCTGGTGTTTATGTGGTCTACGGTTCGAGGTTCCAATGGACCAAGGTGAAGTGTTTTTAGCCTCGTCTCGTCCATTATCTGGTGTGGGAAACTTTGTGAAAGTGGCGAGGCACGAAGAGAGTACAGAAACATACGTCACGAAAATAAGTGCAGGGAACTGGTTATCTTGAGATGTTTTCGGAGGGTTGCTTTAGTGTCCCCGCGGCCCGGTCCTCGACCAGGCCTCCACCCCCAGGAAGCAGCCCGTGACAGCTGACTAACACCCAGGTACCTATTTTACTGCTAGGTAACAGGGGCATAGAGTGAAAGAAACTCTGCCCATTGTTTCTCGCCGGCGCTTGGGATCGAACCCAGGACCGCAGGATCACAAGTCCAGCGTCCGCTCGGCCGACCGGCTGGTGGTAGAAAGTGGAAATTGCATTCCTGTATTTACTCGCCTTCAAGTTGTTCTCCTCCCCGAGTTATTCTCGCAGGGTTGAGCATCAGCTCTTGGACCCTACCTGTTCTCTTGTCCGTCACCCTTGAGTTTACCTGGAGAGGGTCTCTGGAGGTCTTCTCCTCCTGGAGCCTGGTCTGAGGCCAGGCTCGACATGTGATAACTTGGTTCAACAGCGTTTTACCGACCCACTGGCTTCTTCTCAGGTCTCTTGTTCTATCATATCGGCTTCTAAATGCCATTTGTATCCTGAATTGTCATGGATTCATTACGGAATCATCTATTTTTTAGTTTTGCTTTATTGCAGTAAAATTTAAATATTAAAATATAAATGTATAATTACACATTATTCTTGTGTGTTGTATATCACTGTAGTCACAGTTTTGTGGGAAGCAATGTAAAGGACCTGGGTGTACTCATGTTGGAAGACCTTACCTTGAAGAACACAATAAAGTAACCGTCACAACTGCAAGAAAAATGACAGGATGGATAACAAGAACCTTTCACACTAGAGATGCTATACCGATGATGATACTCTTCAAGACGCTAGTGCTCTCTAGAGTGGAGTACTGCTGCACAATGACAGCCCCTTTCAAAGCTGGAGAAATTGCTGACCTGGAGATTTGATTGATTGATGCCGCCGGAGGCGGCTAGTTTATTGTGCACCCCATACTCATCCTGTGAGCGGTAGCGCAAAAACATTACAGAGGGCACAAAAGGTCTTTATCACACCTCATCTTAGATTATTACATAAACATTTTCCTCTATCCTTCACACCTTATAGTTACAATGTCAGCTAGTTACAGAGAAAGTTCTTTTTCAAGAGCTATATATTTACAGTAAGTCATTATACATTAATGGTAAGTCTTATCGCTAATACATAATTGTTTGATCAATGGAGATATTACAGTCATAGGGGAGCTGCTGTTTATTATTAGTCTTCACAATACTGAGTTTCTCAATCTCATGTTATTTATCTACTGGAAGCGAAATATGGACACAGCGCAAGGATTTCAGGTATTTTATCCTTGGGAATATGATAGGTTGCCATATTATACAGCGTGAGCTTAGATTTATCTCTAAATGGCTCAATTTTACTACAATCCAAGATACAGTGTTCGAGTGTGTGGCCCTGTCTTTGTCCACACACTTTACACTTTACTTCATCTTGATCCCTATACAAGCCGAACTGCCAGAGATACTTGTAGCCAAGTCTTATAGGAGCTGTGACAATATCTGTTAGTCTACTGACTTTGTTACTTGCCCCATACATGTTTTACTTCACACATTTCATTGTGATGAACAATGGACCTGCTAGTTCCAGTTTGCACTGTTCTACTTTCTTCAAATTCAACTAAGAGTTCTCGTCTAATGACACTTTTGAGGGACCTATTTGACAACTCAAGATTCCGTTCAAAACTGTTTTTATTTACACTGCAGCTTTAGCAAGGGCGTCAACTTTATCATGTTCCTGCAGGCCAATGTGAGAAGGAATCCACAACATTTGTATATTTACCCTCTTGCTAAGTATGCTTATATATCTATGTGTGGCTTCTGAGACAAGCACGTTATTACTTGATTGCAAACTGTTTATTGCTCGTAGTGAGGATAGGGAGTCGGAAATAATTAAGCTGTCTAATTCAGTGTTGTCAATAATTTCGAGTGCTACCAGTATTGCTACCAACTCAGCTTGCATTGTGGATGCCCAGTTACTAATTCGTGCATTCCTTTGAATTGTGCTGCCATCTAGCTGATGAGCAGTAACAGCACTTCCTGCCCTCCCTGTAGCTGACCTGGAGAGCGTGCAGAGATCCTTTACTGCTAGAATCCACTCAGTAAAACATCTAAACTATTGGTAGTTTATACTAAAAGGGGCATAACTGGCCGACCTCTAACACTGTTCAAGAGAGAACTTGGTAAACACCTCATAAGGATACCTGATCAACCAGGCTGTGGTTCATACATCAGGCTGCGAGCAGCCCCGTCCGACAACCTGGTTGACCAGTCTAGCAACTAGGAGGCCTGGTCGAGGACCGGGCCGCGGGGACGTTGAGCTCGGAAACCATCGCAATGTAACCTTCTAACCTAACCAGAAACGTACGAACCCAAGCAACCTGCCTAACCTATCGAGTCCCATGACACGGAAAACTTAGATATTCATGTACAGTGTACTTGTTATAGTTCCATTTGTAACGTTAATTACAATAACGCCACCCTGTTGAGAGGACGGGTTGACCCGACAGTGGAAGGATCTTTCTTCGTCTGCTAAGCTGTTATTGGTCGTGGTAGTTGGGTCGTTAAGCGTAGTAATGAACCAATTCCAAGGGAGACATTGGAGCATTTTTAGTGCGGGTTCAAGACTGCTGGCAATGCTCTGTGGAGTGTGCGCGCGTTCACCAAACGTGAGTTCTGTGGGTTGATCCTCAGCTCCTGGGCTGAGCAACCCGGAAGGACCAACCAGCCTGGAGTGGATATGTGGGTCGCTCCAAAACAGCCTGTTGGACCAAGTTACTCCAACTCGAGCCTGGCCTCAGGCCGGGCTCGGGGTGTAGAACAACACCCAGAACCCTCTGCAGGTAGGCTTCAGGTATCCAGGAACCACCACCACCACCACCCCATCACCCCCCCCACTCCCCCATCACCCCCCCACCCCACCCCCATCACCCCCCCCCCCCCCATCACCCCCCACCCCCCATCACCCCTCCTCCACCCCCCATCACCCCCCCCCCCACCCCCCATCACCCCCCCCCCACCCCCCATCCCCCCACCCTAACCCCCCATCACCCCCTCACCCCCCCATCACCCCCCACCCCCCCATCACCACCCCCCAACCCCCCATCACCACCCCCCCACCCCCCATCACCACCCCCCACCCCCCATCACCCCCCCATCACCCCCCCATCACCCCCCATCACCCCCCCATCACCCCCCCATCACCCCCCATCACCCCCCATCATCCCCCCCCCCCCCCCCCCACCTTATCACCCCCACCACCCGGCATCACCACAACAATGTGTGTAATTCTCCCGGACGGCAGTGTTGAATGTGTCTTCAATAATGTGTTCTTTACTCTTGTTCTCCCTCTCTCCTTCCCTCCTCTTCCTCAACTTCCCATCTCCTCCTCTTCCTTCATTTCATATTTTTCCCCTACTGTTGCATTTATATTTAAGTTCCTTGTCCTACATATCCTTAATTCTCGTATTCACACCCACCTTTTTTTTCTCATTCCTTCTTCTTGCGTCCTCCTTCCTTCCTTCTCGCGTCCTCCTTCCTTTTCTCCCCCCCCCCCTCACCTCATAATATCTCATCTCTGCAGCCTTTTCCTCCTGCAGAATCTCCAGATGCTTCCACCTGGGTCATTTTCATCCTCCATCTCATCTGCGAAGCTGTCCTTGTGGGCTAGGCTGAGTTTTCTTAGCTTTCTCTCGCGCTCTCGCTCTCACTCGCGCTCTCTTGCTGGCTCTGGCTCTCACTCGCGCTCTCTTGTTGGCTCTGGCTCTCACTCGCGCTCTCTTGTTGGCTCTGGCTCTCACTCGCGCTCTCTTGCTGGCTCTGGCTCTCACTCGCGCTCTCTTGTTGGCTCTGGCTCTCACTCGCGCTCTCTTGTTGGCTCTGGCTCTCACTCGCGCTCACTTGCTGGCTCTGGCTCTCACTCGCGCTCTCTTGTTGGCTCTGGCTCTCACTCGCGCTCTCTTGCTGGCTCTGGCTCTCACTCGCGCTCTCTTGCTGGCTCTGGCTCTCACTCGCGCTCTCTTGCTGGCTCTGGCTCTCACTCGCGCTCTCTTGCTGGCTCTGGCTCTCACTCGCGCTCTCTTGCTGGCTCTGGCTCTCACTCGCGCTCTCTTGCTGGCTCTGGCTCTCACTCGCGCTCTCGCTGGCTCTGGCTCTCTCTCGCGCTCTCTTCCTGGCTCTCTCGTTCGCGCTCTCTTGCTGGCTCTGGCTCTCACTCGCGCTCTCTCACTCTCACTGGCTCTCGCTCTCTTTCACGGGCTCTCGCTCTCTTTCACGGGCTCTCAGTCGCGGGCGCGCGCTCTTTTTTTTCGCTCTTGCTTTCATTCGCGCTCTCACACTTACACTCACACTACCCCTTTCTCACGCTTTTGCTCTTTCTGTCTTGCAACAGCCATCGCCGCCATTTGTATTCAATTACCTAACAACAGAGAAGCAGGAACTGATTTACACTAGATTGTTGGAGTGATAACTTCGGGTGCGAACTGCAAGCACGAACAGCCTGTTTAATCATTAGAGATGTCTGAGAGAAATAACGGTCCTCTCTCACACTTGGGGGAGGCGGAGGCTGCTGGTCTTTCCCATAGTTTATACTGCTTGATGCATGTGATAAATGTTGTTGGTGTCGGTAAAGGTTGTATTGTTGTTGTTTATGGTTGTATTGTTGTTGTTTATGGTTGTATTGTTGTTGTTTATGGTTGTATTATTGTTATGGTTGTATTGTTGCTTATGGTTGTATTAGTGGGGTGTATAACGGGCGTTTCTTCATGTTGCGTTTGTTAAGTGTGTTTGTTGGCGGTGGCAATAATGTTTTTGTTCTCACTGGTAAAATGTGTTGTTAAATAATCAGATTATATATATTTGAGAATGTCTATTCGAGGTTGGAGCCCAGATGGCTGCAGTGTTTGTATAGGGTCTGTCATAGAGGGGTCGGGGTCGACCCCCCATGCCCCTCTTTAAGTAGGGTTGGTTCATATTGCGTCAACCAATGGCTCCTATGAAGCCTGAAATGAGGGTTTGATTGTCTATAGTTTTTTCAACAGTGGCTTCAGTTATTGGGCTCAAACACATCGTAACCACAACGTTCTTGCAACTTTGTATTTAACAGTAGTACAAATAATGTTATGGTTTTGTGTTTGCTGAGCACACACATGGAATTTTCTAAGGGAAATGGAGAGAGAAAAAGGAAGGAGGTAGGGGGAGAGGGAATGATAGTGAGAGGGAGAAAGCAGTTAATTAATCATCTAAATAATTGGGATCGCTTACAGTTTTTAAATCGGTATAAATCATGTTGTTGTTTCAGATTTAGCTATTCAGAATGAAGTGTCCATGTAGCACCGGCTATGGTGAGCCCGTCCGTAACCGGTGTAAATCAGTACTCTGCCGCTTGCGTAGAGTGGAAGCTGGAGAGGTGGACCTGCTGGATATAGGGACCCGCAGCCTCGGCAACACCTCAACACTCACTTTACAAGCTATAATGACCAAGTTAAAACTGTTGTGGTTGGCACGATGCTACAGACATTATTCGTATGTCTGTCACTCACGTCCATTTGTGACCCCACGATAAATGTTTCAAAAGTTCAAAAAACATTATTAATTTTTCCATAGCCTGAATATTCGATGGAAGAAGCATGTTTTGGTTCAGTGAACGTGAGCTCATTCGGGAACCGAACACTGAGCCCCGAGACTCGTACACAAATATTCCAATGTATGTTAATATATGCAACATGGAGAGGAACTTTTTGTTGTCTTGATTGCTTCAAAATTGAAGTTGTTTTGCGAGTAAATTGGGAGATGAGGAAAGTTGCTGAATTATTGAATTTTGAGAGTGGGTCATGTGGGCTCGCACGCACGCACGCACAGGCAGGAGCGCAGGCACGTAGGCACGCTTGTACGCGCGCACATGAATGTGCGCACTGACACACACGCACACACACACACACACACACACACACACACACACACACACACACACACACACACACACACACACACACACACACACACACACACACACACACACACACATTATGGAATGCATTAGGGGGTGATGTGGTGGAGGCTCACATACACAGTTTCAAGTGTAGATATGACAGAGCCCGATAGGCTCAGGAATCACACCTGTTGATTGACGGTTGACGGGACCAAAGAGCAGAGCTCAACCCCCGCAAACACACACTACACACACACACACACACACACACACACACACACACACACACACACACACACACAGGGACAGGGAAATCATGCCTAACAAACCTTTTAGAATTCTATGATAAAGTAACAAGGATAAGGCAGGACAGAGAAGGCTGGGCAGACTGCATATTTCTTGACTGCCAAAAGGCCTTTGATACGGTACCGCACATGAGACTGCTATACAAACTTGAGAGGCAGGCAGGAGTAAGCGGAAAGGCCCTAGTATGGGTGAAGAACTACCTAACAGGAAGGAGCCAGAGGGTAATGGTAAGAGGCGAGAAGTCGGACTGGCGAACAGTAACAAGTGGAGTACCTCAAGGATCGGTGCTGGGACCAATCCTCTTTCTAATTTACGTAAATGATATGTTTACAGGAGTGGAATCATACATGTCAATGTTTGCGGATGACGCAAAATTAATGAGAAGAGTTGTGACAGACGAGGATTGTAGGATTCTCCAAGAGGACTTAAACAGGCTGCAAAGATGGTCAGGGAAATGGCTACTGGAGTTTAACACCAGTAAATGTAAAGTTATGGAAATGGGATCAGGTGACAGGAGACCAAAGGGACAGTACACAATGAAGGGGAACAGCCTACCTGTAACGATTCGAGAAAGAGACCTGGGAGTGGATGTGACACCTAATCTAACTCCTGAGGCACATATAAATAGGATAACGACAGCAGCGTACTCTACACTGGCGAAAATTAGAACTTCATTCAGAAACCTAAATGAGGAGGCTTTTAGGGCGCTTTACACTGCCTATGTGAGACCCGTCTTAGAGTATGCCGCGCCATCATGGAGCCCCCACCTGAAGAAACACATAAAGAAACTGGAGAAGGTTCAGAGGTTTGCGACGAGGCTTGTCCCAGAGTTACGAGGGATGGGATATAAAGAGCGGCTGAAGGAACTGAACCTTACGACACTAGAGAAAAGAAGGGAGAGAGGAGATATGATAGGAACATATAAAATACTCAGGGGAATTGACAAAGTGGAAATAGATGAAATGTTCACACGTAATAATAACAGAACGAGGGGACATGGGTGGAAACTGGAAACTCAGATGAGTCACAGAGATGTTAGGAAGTTTTCTTTTAGCGTGAGAGTAGTAGAAAAATGGAATGCACTTGGGGAACAGATTGTGGAAGCAAATACTATTCATACTTTTAAAACTAGGTATGATAGGGAAATGGGACAGGAGTCATTGCTGTAAACAACCGATAGCTAGAAAGGCGGGATCCAAGAGTCAATGCTCGATCCTGCAAGCACAAATAGGTGAGTACAAATAGGTGAGTACACACACGTGGGGCCTCGTAGCCTGGTGGATAGCGCGCAGGACTCGTAATTCTGTGGCGCGGGTTCGATTCCCGCACGAGGCAGAAACAAATGGGCAAAGTTTCTTTCACCCTAAGTGCCCCTGTTACCTAGCAGTAAATAGGTACCTGGGAGCTAGTCAGCTGTAACGGGCTGCTTCCTGGGGTGTGTGTGTGTGTGTGGTGTGGAGAAAAAAAAATAGTAGTTAGTAAACAGTTGATTGACAGTTGAGAGGCGGGCCGAAAGAGCAAAGCTCAACCCCCGCAAAACGCAACTAGTAAACACACACACACACACACACACACACACACACACACACACACACACACACACACACACACACACACACACACACACACACACACACGCGCGCGCGCACGCACAACTAGGTGAGTGCACAGCTAAGGGGCCTGACAGCTGAGTGGACAGCGCTCGGGATTCGTAGTCCTGTGGTCCGGGAATCGATATCTGGCGATGACGGAAACAAATGGGCAGAGATTTTCCACCCTGATGCACCTGTTCACCTAGCAGTAAATAGGTACCTGGGAGTTAGACAGCTGCTACGGGCTGCTTCCCGGGGATGTGTACTCACCTAGTTGTGGTTGCGGGGGTTGAGTTTTGGCTCTTTGGTCCCGGCACAGGTGTGTGTGTTATAGAGAAATGTGTGTAGTAGATATAATAGAGGAAAATAGATTGGTTAGAATGACGGGGTCCAAAGGCTAATAGCTCGATTTTACAGATACAAATGGTAAAATACACACCCGCGCGTGGTAAATTTTTTAGTTTTTCACCTGGTGAACCTGTTCACTTAGCAATAAATAGGTACCAGGGAGTCAGCTGCTACGGGCTATACTCTCGGTTTTGTGCGAGAGAAAAATATATGTAGTAGATATGAATGAGAGAAAATTGTTCAGGAGTCCGTACTTTAGACAACAGACGTTTAGAAAGTCGGGACCCAAGAGCTAAGAGCTGGATCGTGCAGGCACAAATAATAAATACTTAAACAAGCGCGTGCAAAATGGCACGGTATTCACGCTCAAGCGCTCACACTACCTGCTGGGCTGATTGGTGGTAAGTGGTCAACTTTGTTTTTAGTGGGGGAGAAAAACTGTGTGGAAGAGCGATGTGCTAAATGGTTGAGAGTGGGTTCACACCCTGGGCTGGAGGGGTGACCACACTGTTGGACGGCGCTGTGTGTAGTCTGACGTAGGCAACCACAGTCTGGGTGATCACGTACCATTTGGTGGGGTTGACCAGATTCCTTCTTGTACTCGTCCAGAGATCTGTTAATATTACCCTATACTGCTGCACAATGACAACCCCTTTCAAAGCTGGAGAAATTGCTGACCTGGAGAGCGTGCAGAGATCCTTTACTGCTAGAATCCACTCAGTAAAACATCTAAACTACTGGGACCGACTAAAGAGCCTAAATCTGTATTCTCTTGAGCGCAGGCGGGAGAGATACATAATAATTTACACGGGAAATAGTAGAGGGGCTGGTCCCAAACCTGCACACAGAAATAACACCACGTGAGACCAGGAGGCATGGCAGGATGTGCAGAATACCCCCGTTGAAGAGCAGAGGTGCAACAGGTACTCTGAGAGAGAACTATCAACATCAGAGGCCCGAGACTGTTCAACACGCTTCCACTACACATAAGGGGCATAACTGGCCGACCCCTTACAGTGTTCGAGAGAACTTGATAAACACCTCCAAAGAATACCTGATCAACCAGGCTGTGATTCATCCGTGAGCCCCGTCCAAAAAACTGGTTGACCGAGCAACGAGGAGGCCTGGTCGGGGACCGGGCCGCTTGGGCGTTGAACCCGGAAATCAGCGCAAGGTAAGGTAGTCCTGGCACCTTTGCTGCCAGGTATGCAGTCGTGCT